GAGTTGGCACCCACAAGTGTTCAAACAAGTTAAGAGCGCAAGAACTTCGTCCTGGTTCGTAGGTTTCGCAAACGACTTCAAAGACTCAGCAGCACTCTTGTCCGTAATAATTTTGTGCACGAAGAGGTGACTAAAAAACTGTATAATGCCAAGATAGGCATCGCGTTTCTTCGAAATAGCAGTTTCTCGGTCTTCCTCTAGCATTTTTTTGACTTTCTCATCCGTTGTTTCCGCTATTTTGGCGTCGATTTTTGTATTGAGTTCCGAAAGGTAAGTCTACAGAGATTAGTTTTACAATACGTTATACCTCGAGGGGAGTTTCGAACATCTTATTTACAGCTGTAACAAGTAGTATCTTAAAGGGATCCAGTGGCTTGACCTAAGACGGTAATACGTAAAGCCCGACTTACGCGCGATAGTTCGGAGCATAGCCGCGCAAACACCTCGCTGTATTTGGCTTGCCTAGTGGCCTACAGAGCTTGGGCAAGTAACATTTGTCTTACCTTTGCCGTCAGGACATCAACTAGTGCGCTGACTTCTTCGCGACCCGATATAGACAATTTTCTTATTTCCAGGACTATGTCGGATATATTGTCGTCCAGTAACCGATTCAGAATTATATTCAAGTCTTTCGACACCTTTGCTGTTCGGTTCTCTGCCGACGAATCTGGTTCACGTAAATGAGCCGGTTTATAGGCATTCTCAACATCATCCAATTTAATGTTGGTTTTTAGCGTAATACATCTCCGCTGTTTTTCTCTCCTATAGCAAGTCGAACTCTAAACCGTAAGAACAAAATAGCATACGTACCCGCTCAGCATGATTTATAGAAACGGCCGATGAAGTCTAATGGAAGGGTTACGAATTAGTAATAAACGTACCAAGAAATTGGGAGCGGTTGCCTCGCTTCCTGTGCGCAGTGCAATAAGTTCATTACGGTCATATCTGCGAGTCTTTTCGGCCACATCCGAAACATCTGAATTTGTACTAGAGTCATTTGGCTCTTCGTCCGAGTCCTGAGCAGTAGAAACTTCTCCCTCTTCTACTTCTTCATCATCTTCTTCTTTATCTTCCTCCTTTACAGAGGCACTGCTTTCAGATTCATCTGCCGGTAACTCTGCATCTGGTTCCTTGGGATCTTCTTGGATCGGTGATTCTGGTGGGGTTACTTTTAGTTCCTCCTCGGGAACAGGCGAGCGTTCAACAGATTCACGAACAAGATGCTCTTCGTGTGTTGGCTCATGTCTGTCCTTAGTAGCACGGGCCGGAGGATCCTTAAATACTAGTGGCTTGGTTCCCAGTGGCTTGTTTCCCTGTTGCACATCTTTTTGAACGTTATTAATAGGCGCTGTGATGTCAACCGTTTGATTGGTGGCTGGATCTTTGATAACTAGCCCTTTTCCTTTGCGAATAGTTGTTTCAGTGGGAGTGGGCTCTGGTTGGGCGGTCGGAACGGAATTTATGGTGCAAGAAGTATCAGCTGGCGGAACCTGTACAGTTGGCATACAATTGTAATAGTATGGGAGAGAGTAAGCCCCAGGTGTCGGCATACACGGCTGAGAAACCGATTGTGCATAGGCATAATGCTGGGAGTAACTATCAGCTTTGGAGAAAGTGAAAAGGCCAATGGGGACTTACGTAAGGCTAGGAAATAAGGCTAAGAAATAAAATTATGAAAAATAAATATAATTGGCTTACATTGAGAGTCGGAGCATTTTGTGTTGGATTTCTAAGAACAAATAAATTATAAGGAACTTTTTAAAACAAACTGTATACCGAACATCTTGGTACGAGGGTGGACCATTCATCTGAAGATAGAAAACCTGAATCGCGACGTGGGGAAATGTGCCTTCCCTAACCACGGAACCTGGCAGACGTGGATATCAGAACAGTAAAACAACGCTAATCGAAAATGGTCTAACTACTTTGTCTCAAACATAACCGATAATATCAGGCATGATAACGCTTGGTTTTACACAGATTAAAAAAAGCCGTATATGGAATTTACACTTTTGCTTTGTAGAACTCATTAGGATTCGGGCAGGAGTTACAAGTGGCAAGCTACTTGGCGGTTCGGTTGTCATCGACGGTTATGCGTATGTCGTGCTCCACATCACAGCAGGCGCACGGACGGCGATTTCGGCATAAATTAGCACCAGCTACCAAACTCCCATTCCTAATCTATCTGAGCTTGGAGTCCAGAGAGTTTAAAGATGGTCGGAGGTAAGATAGAGCGTAATGTCTGAAAACACTAAATAGTCCATGTACGCGTGCCACTCATGCGTGATATGCGGACTAGTGTAGCTATACAGCCTGACTATGCGTACCACACAATATCTGTTCCCCAACGCAACACACTAGAAATCACACAAAGGTATATTTGGCTTGGAGTTCACACGTGTGGGGGCGTCAGAGAAAGAACCAGTGGACCTGACTCTTTGTTAATGGGTCATTTACTCCGTATACACACAGTTACTGATGATGAGTTCTCAGTTGCATCGGTAGGTGGCACCCTCCGAACCCACGACGCTCAAAGCGTCATGATTAATTCACGTGCGTCGTATTTATTATGCTGCTGAATGCACTGAGGCGCCGTGAGAATGAGATCATAAGGGTCTGCTCAACTATCTATTCCCTCCCACATGCCCCAGTCAATTTTCCAAACTAGCTAACTAATCAAAATTGAGTTTGGATACCAGCTGCTGAAAGAGTCAAGCGATCCGTACAGGAGTTCCATACACGACGTGATTCCAAAATAACCCACAAGTTAGTCATACAGGGGATGGGCATCTCGGATCTTGCATTTTGTGAGGACTGGTCATAGTATTTAAAATATACTTTTGGCAAAATATATATTCCCCCGCCCAACTGTCTAACGTATTTTGTGATAAATTAATTAATTCTTGGTTAGTGGGTGTAAATGAATATTTAATTGTGGTGAAAATGGTCAAAAATATTAATTTAAGGAAACATATTTGTCTCAATGTACTAAATTTAATCAAATCCATGAATATAAACTCCTGTCGCTCAGGGTACTGTTGCTAATCGAGGGAGGTTAAATCTTATTTGGCGGAATTTAACGAAAAGCGCGAAAGTCAGGTTACTGAAAATGTAAAAGTATGTTACTGTTATAAGTCAAAGGAAAAAATGACCTCTTAAGACAGTTCTGTCATACTTTTTATCCAGACGTGACGGATGCCTATTTCATGAAAATTATTGATTATTTGCTTCTGAGGCTTATGGTAACGGGGTTTGCCCTGCGGTCCTTGACAGCAGAATTTAGTGGAAACACAAGTGCTCGATTAGACGTTTGGTAGGACCAAAAGCGCATGGTGGGTGTATGTAGGTATTCCTCGTATTCGTTCACTAGTTACGTCGCGGCGGATTTGCGAGTGATCGATCAGGCTGATGCGTCACGTAAATGAAACATCAACATATGGGCAGTATAAGTTTGTCACCGCTTGAATCTTTTGGCCGTGAGTATGCTACTGATGACAATGTTGGTAAAGGAGAAATTAATAGCATAGACAAGGAAGAAGACGTGCCAAATGTTGTAACGTAGCCCAGGCCAAAATATTCGCCATCTAATTACGCCTCATGTGAGCCCCCAACGAGAGAACATGACAAAAAGTGTGCGGAAAGCAGAAGTCTTTTAGTGTGTCAGGTACAACGTATTTAGGAAACAAACGTGTGTAAACGATGTCCCTTGAGTCAATCAGATTCTCCCCTGAAATAGTGGCTGGTCCCATTGGCTGTTGGCTCATTGAGTGAATGTCGCTCGAAATTCAAATTATCAATTGATTGTCTAGCTCGATGCATTAGCTCGCGCACAGGCCGATCGATAGCTTGCTTGGAGTGCGGCTATAGCTTGCAAGCTACTGCTTGCCAAGGCTGTTGTTAGGCCATCCTAACATCGAGCACCGGATAACTTGTTTTATTATCCTGAGCTTTTGAACTCTCACACGAGCCTATATTCAGGATGAGAAGAAGCAACTAAAAAACGGTAATTAAAGTGGCTATAGGCTAATCAACTGTCAGAAGTCATCAGGTTGTCAAGGGGTTAGAAACAACAATCAAGGAGGATGGGGGGTAATTATAGTGGTATACGCTAATAAGCTGCGAGTGAAGTCGGGGGTCGCTTGGGGACATGAATAGTAGTTACTCTGGCGCCTTGTCCCCAGGGTATAGGGTTCTGGTTGTTAGGACGGCCTAACGAATAGCCTCAGCAAGCAGTAGCTTGCAAGCCATGGCTGCACTCCAAGCAGGCTATCGATCGGCCTGTGCGCGAGCTAACACATCGAGCTAGACAATCAA